GGACTTTTAGTTTCAGAAATTATTACTTGTTGAGACATTTTCACAGTAATAAAAATATAAATATTCTATAAGCAATAATTTTTTTTTCGCAGGAAAATTATCATAATTATATTCAATGGATTTAGAAATGACAAATGAAAATTACGATAATGTAAGGAAAGATATGAATGCATGCATTTTAAATTGAATTTGTCGCTCCAGAAATATTCCAATTTTCAGTAATTTACGTAGCCATCATAGCACATTTAATCATATTAAAAAGAAAACGGAAAATTTCAAGCATATATGACTCTAATTAAATATACGAGAATACTCGTTAATAAATGCGGAATTATTTAATGAATGATATCCTCATTCGGAACTACAAACAAATAATTAATATACCGTAAAAGGTAATAATCCGTCTGATTAAACCGAATTGCATTAACGTAATTACTGCGTGTGACACGAGATACGGCATGCAGCGAAATTTTATGTGATGTCAAGTAAGAATCTTGATAAAAGAAAAAAATATTTAAGATTTACTACGATTTCCAGGCACACTTTATTGCAAGTACGCGAGATAATACGATGCCACAAACACATGGAAATTTTTAATCAACGTACGGAGGAGGGAATAATCAGCGACGGATAAAAAGATCGCATATTTATGGATTTCCATGATTACGAAATTTTTGCAGTCGGAAATAATTGCGAAATGTGTTGTTGAATTGCGCGAATGCGCATATAAAAAGCATCTCTTACTGCACGATATTCATTTTTAATTATTAATATGCACAAAGTATGAAACGCGGAATGATAGCAAGAATGATATAGATAGAAATAAATATCTCCATATATTTTTTAACGAACTTTTAATGAATTTCTGAAATTTTATTTTACTCGATGAACACAAACTTTATACATATTTTTTCTCTTGCATCGGCGATTTCGCTCATTACGATTTAACGATTAATCCAATACAGTGCAAGTTTATATGTTTGCTCAAAAAAAAAATTAATTAAACAAAAAATTAAAAAAAAACAACATATGAACGGATTAATAAATAGGTATGACAATATGAAAGATATACAAGATAATGCGAATTTTAATATGTGAATTAAGCGAAATAACGACATGAAGAGAAATTATCGTGCATGCAAAAAAGCGTTTGCTCATCGCAAATTATTTCTATCACAACTCTCGCTTAAACGCTCGAGTAAAACGAGTATTTTACTCTCGTGTAATCGGAGAAATGCATTAGTATAGTCAATATATAAAGCCAACATGACAATAATCGCGATTGTCACGCGCAGAAGATGCCGTTCCGCGTCTATATTTTCGCAAAGGTCGAGCGACCGACGCAAAGAGCGTATATTTTCGCGGAGCATTTCGCAAGGGGAAACGAGAAGCCCGGCTGATATATGCTCGAGCCTTACCCCTGAAAATCCGGGACGCTCGGCTTTTCTTGGCACAATTGGGAGATTTTCGAACGGCCCGATCCATGACAGACGTCATTTTTTATCCCCGCCGTGCCAGATAAGAGTATCATCCGCGCATTTCGGAGGCACCGAGGGATAAAAAAAAAAGCGAGCGGAGAACGAACAATGCACGGGGTCGATAATCCCGTGTTAGCAGGACGCGTGTATTAATCACGAGAAAAAAACACACACACACGCGCGGGATTCGATTCGATTCGAAACGCCAATGCGAGAAATGCTATTTACATAGGCAATTCGCGGGCGATGTGGTAATTGTAAACGCATATCCGCGCCAGATGGTTCGCGATTTTATCTTGAAAAGCCGGCCGAAAAAAAAGAGCCGGTCGTTCGCCGCGCAAAATTCATGGCGTAACATTTATAGCATATCCCTCTCTGCCACGGCAAGGTAAAATTTGATGAGGAAAGCACGCGCTCGCGCTGTAATATTTCCTTCGTAAATTTATCCGCCATTATTCAAGCGCGATGAAAATAAATGTCACTCGCGAGCGTCGACGGATCGAGGAGGCGACAATAAACACGACCGGTACTCGTCGGTCGATTAATCAGAATGCGCGCATATTTCTAATTCCCGTGGTTTTGTACGCGACGCTGATCATTTAACGCCGAGAGGCCGCGAGTAAAGTAGTTGAGTCGTATTTATGACGTACGTCCGACGAAATGAGCGAGTATATCACTGCGAATGCGCAACGCGCACCTGGTGGCCGCAAATTCACGCTCGTTACACTTCATACGGTATTACGAAAAAAAATTCCTCGATCAATTTGAGATCGATCTTTCGTTACAAAAATGCGTTGCAAAAATACGAGGCATTGAATAACTGTCGAAATATATTTTCAGATTTTTCTCCCTCTTTCTTCAAGCTAAATTAAATCATTTCACATCGTTAAAATAGGCAGCGATAATTATATGATTATTGTTATAGAAATAATTTTCAAAGTTCATCAGCAGGTCTGAGGAATTTCTCGAGCGGGAGAAACGAATGATATTTTTAATCGGGACGCATTAAGATCGGAAATGAATCGTAAGAATGGCAAAATCAGATCGGTTGATTGAAAAAAAATATCGTCGTTGCAAGATTGAAACGACGAGTTGAAATCACTTTGCGTCTTTAGCCGCGGGGGATAACAATTACGCGTTATTGCTCATCGTCCGAGTTTATCGCCGGCAGAAATACGCCGTTTTGCCGGATAACAAATTTTTTCCAAGACATTTAAACGTGCAGAGGGATTTAATTAACTCGACTCTCGTCTCCCCTATTCGCAGTTCTTTTGTACCGCGGGAGTGACCCATCCACCGCCAACCGTGACAACAAGAGCATCAGCATGCTTGTCAATTCTCCCCTTTGTCATGCAAAGGCACACAAGGTTTCGTGCCGCTATTATAACGCGTCCATAGAATATACCGTTTTATTAATGCGATTATACACCCGCCCGCAACAATGGCGAATGTACAACGCGTACAACGAGAGAGCCCCGAGACTATCTCTCTGTCTCTCTTTAAAAATGAGGAAGAAAAAAAAATGGAAGAAGAACGGAGGAGAGCAGCCAGGCGTTTCATGACGTTTCATAACCGCAACGTATATACGCGGCCAGAAGGAGCGCGTTTAAAAAAAAAATAAAGAGAGAGAGAGAGAGAGAGGGAGAAAAAAATAACGGCGCCCGACTGTATATTTATTCGCGGTGACGTTTTTACCGCGACGCATTATCCATACGAACACACGAGGATGCCAAGGGTGCATCCTCGAGGATGCACAGGCGCACACCGTTCGCCGTTCGCGATGAGAGTCGGGAAGAAAGTTCCGGGCACTCGTCCAAGTTGCCGGCGGAAACGATACACTTTTCAAACTCGCATAATGCTTTTTTATGCGGCGTACCTACCTACCTACCTACTTATATACCTATCTATCTATGGGCACCATTGTTCCACGGCAAACTTTCCCCAGTTCCCTGCTGTGCACGCTCTGCGCAGCTTGGTGAAAACTATTCTTGTGTATGCATATATTTGATGACATCTGACGGTGCTTGGGATAGAGAGAGGGTTTTCCGAAAGCGAATCCACCTGAAAGAGAAGCGCGTATTGTTTTTCGAGGTACGAGGAGCTGTGATAAGTTAAAAAGGGAAAACGGTTCGACGACGATAATTTTGCTCGCGATCCTCGTGTTATTTTAGCGAAGTTACGTAACAAAGAGCTGAAATTTCCCTGAAATGGAATTTTCGTAACGTTTTAAATTAAAATTATAATTGCAATCACGTTTCGCGAGACGACGAGGTAATCCTTTTTTGTTTTCATATCTCGTATGCTAAGAAGATTCTTGGATCGATATAATATTTCTTCTCTTCGTTATTTCACCTCCCTCGCATTTATTAGAATAGCGTTCGTTGCGCCAAATGTCACTAAACATGACCGGTGCACAGCGAGATTGTAAACAGAAATTAAAAACAAATGAAATTTTGAAAATTACTAATAGACGAAGCGTATTTATTTTAAATTTTCATTAGCGATGTTGTTGACAAACGTGTACATTATATATGTATAAAACGCAAATGGTACATTATACATCGCGTACCCATCTATTTGAAGACTTTTTTTCATTGAAAAAGATGGGAACTGCCAGGAAAGAGCACTCAGTTTTACGTTGAAATATTTAATGGACTGTACTGAAAACTCAGTATTTCGAGTTACAATGTTTCTGGACGAAGTTGTCGATAAGCCGATTTCCATGTACTTGAAACTCGATGAATTAAAGCTTGCTCAGCTTTCGTATTGTGCGTTTACTTTGAAATACATATATATATATATATATATATATATATATATATATAATATATTTTTTGTCGTCAGGAATTAAAGTAGTCAAATATATAATATGTTTTTTGGTCATCCAGAATTAAAGTAGTCATGATAAAACAACGAAAACTGATGTAAGCTTCATATTTCTCTGATTTATAAATATTTATGAGCATATGATTGATAGTAAAGCTTTTTAAAAGTTATATCTCGTATGTATAATTGAGCAATAAGTTTGTTTACTACAACTACTAAAAATGTTTCATATTTTCAATCAAAATTGTAAACATTGCAACACATGTATTATACTCTTATCTTGGCTATGTAAGCAATAAAATATTTAGCGATAGCGTATATCATTTATAATTTTTTTATAGTTATGATTGTCTTGAAAATAATATTTGATAATTTTATTGCATTTATTATAGAAATTTTCGAGCATGCTAATAAATATTTTTATCTTTATAATTTGTTTTCAACTACATTATCATCCTTCATAGAGTTAAAAAACAAAATAAATTATAAACTCGAATATTTTCCATTTTAAAACTTTATTTTAGATATCCACATATCTCCTATTGAATAATTCGATTTTATCATATTCACGTAATTAAAAATTTCATAATTTCAGCTATTTTCAAGAGTTAAAATTCTTCTCTCGTATTATACGAAATATTATATATAATTCAGTGCAAAACGATTCATGTCTGATTTAATTTTTTTATTTTCCAGGTCTCGAGGAGTACAGGGATACTGTCCCATTTTGTCAATCTAAATATAGTGATACCAGAGGCGTTTATATTAGGAGGCGAAGAGCATCACGTCGATGTAGGCTCTATCATAAGCCTCGTATGCATAATAGAGAAGGTAAGATGTATTACATGTTGCGCTCATGAGACATTTACTTGACACAAGCACGAACGAATCAACTAATAAATGTAAATAATCGATAAAAAAATTTCGATAAAGCAGTTTCCTCTTTAACTTCTTTTTTGACGTTTATAACAAAAGTTTATTACATTATATTAGACTACATATATTGGATATTAACTGCACAATAATGTTTTGTCCATTTACCATATTCGGTCATGCTAATTCTTTAGATCGCGTTCATTTTTAATATGTTTACGCGAAGTGGAGTTAATGTATGTCGCGCATAAAATTCCATGTTTTATAGATAGAAATTTTTTCATAGCAGGATACATCGGAAAGTAATCATTTCGACACGATTTTCATATTTATGGGTATCATTGTCGTGCTGCTATTAACTCTTCATCTGCAATCTGGGTCGTTAACGATTCAGACGAAAATTAAATTTTAAATGACTCTGAAACGAAAAGAGAGAAAAATCTGGTTTTCCCTTCTAAAAAAAAGCTTGTTAATGGTGGAGTTTTATTAATTAAACGACACCAAGATAACAACAATCTATCTTTGATTAGAGTAGAAATTATGTTAGGATCGTTACGACCTAAATTGCAAATGCTCAGTATTTCTGCAAGTAATGAATTTTTTAGTAGTATGAATTTTAATTTGGCCCGCTTTTTGGCATTTTTTTAGTATTAATTAAAATAACTTTTTTAATGTGACGCACACAAAAAAGCAATATCTAATATTCTCACATATAATTTCTAATTATTCAAATACAAACATGTATTTCTAGTAAAATATCTTATATTTGTATATCATTATGCATTTGTTTAGCAGGTAGACGGTTCTGTCTTTTAGTTCAATCTCTTTTTATTAATTTGTATTATTATTCGGGAAAAATTATGTAAATAATTTAATTGTTTATTATTATCGCATGCATCCTTATAAAATTACTCCACTTTCAAGGTCTCTCAAAATAATTAAGCTTATTGAAGCCGCAGATACATTTATATTCTTTCATAAATGTCATAGATCTTTAAACAACAACTTTTCTCAATACTTATTAATTTTGCAAAGTTGTACATTTTTTAAAAAGTTTCCATTTTTAACTGATTCTTATTCAAACTTCGATTTTTATAAAGAAACAATTTTAATATTTAACTTTAATATTATATATTTATATTTTAATATTTAACAATGATTGATATAGAGACGTTATAAAGATTTCAAAGTGTCTTAAATGTTTCAAATTTTTTCAATTTAGAACACTAAAGTAATTTTGGGATTGATATAAACCATTCAGTTTGCAGATCATTAAAAATAATATTGCAGACGAAATGTTATAACTACCTGATCTCGAGAATGCGCATATATTATAATATTGACTTTAATATACAGAATATCTTACGTCTTCATTTTATTTCTAAACTTTTCACAGCGCAATTTAAACTCAATGTTCTCTTAACATGTATCAAAACAATTAATTTCCCTGCGAAAAATTATCTTAAAGAGAATTTTAAACTTAATATTATTTTCTGATTATAATAATAACATTTTTCACTTGATATCAAATCGATTACACGAATTTCCAGGGCGTAAATGAAAACCGAGAAGTATGTTGAACGAAATTTACGATGCAATGCAATTTTTACGTATCATAAAGGGAATCGCGATACGCAAAAGCGTACCTCTCTCGAGGCATTTGTTTGCGCGCAGGATTAATTATCTCCCGCCAGAATGTATTAATAGCTTCGTTCTCATACGCCACGCAACAGTACGATGTTAACGCGAATAATTCGTGCATAGTATTCTCTCACTTGCCGCCATTTCATCGTCGTCCTTTGATCTGTATCGTTAGATTATTAACGTTTCCGAGACTTGCGCGCGAATATTTGTTGCCGGGATTTGATCCCGCGCCTTCGATATCGGGAGCATTTCTCGTCGCGGACGCTCGCTCCGGCCCCATTCGCAATATTTCAGTTATTTTATCGGATTCTGTGCCGCTTGTCCGCGAATTCCAAGCAATATGCAAGCGCGGCGGCTGCCCGTTTCCGCCCTTATTCGATATTCACGCGCGGCAACGGAATCGCGGGCGAAGAAATCGCGAAACCCGATGACGTTGATTCCGTTTTAATTGGTAACTGTGTACACCAGATACCCATTAATTAAACTGATAAATTAAAATCGCCGCGCCGCGCCGCGCCGTGTAGTTGCAATGCGGCTGGAAATTGATTAAATTCGTGTTTCGACTAACATGCGCGCTGATCCGTCCACCATCCCCCTATTGACAAGGCGCCGTTGAGTCACTTAATTTCTCTGTTTTACAATTTGTATTCGATGCTCTTTCTCAACGTATGTACAGCCCATATCGACATAATTTCTCGCTAATATTTTCTATTTACGAGATGCAATATACAGAGTTTCTTAATAAGTGGGAAAAATTTTAGGAGATGATTCTTGTCGAAAATTAAGGGAAGGGATTATTTTTTATTTCTTAGGTTTTTATTATAATTTTGTTTTTGTTCCAATTTTTCCAACATTTACTCTAATTTTATTTTTATTTTAAAATTTAAAATTTAACTTCTCATAATTCGAAACGTATGCTGTTTACCATCGCGCTGTGTACGATAACGTGTTTTATTTTTTATCTTGAAAACTATTAATTTTACGAAAAAAATAAAAGAAATAAAAAAGTTTCTAAATAAATCAAACCTTTTAATGCATATTTTTAGATAATCATATTCCGACTCATTAAAAAATTCTAATAAAAAATGAAATAGTGGCTGCTAGTTTCGTCTCTTGATAACAATACGGGAGGCTAAAAAAATATGAATAAATAACTTTTCTACTAGTGGAAAATCCATCTAATTTCATTTCTTTAACTTGTTCCAATTTTGAGAAAAAAATAAAAACCTAATTTTTATCCCCATTTCTGGAGAAGTGTAACTTCATTTTTTATATGAGAAACCCCCCACCCGCTAATTTTCGACAAAGAATCATCTCTAAAATTTTTCGCACTTATTAAGAAACACCCTATATTTGAACCTTATTAATTCCACGATAACAAAGTACTCTTTCTATACGTATCTATAACCGATGATAAAATGCGATTTTTCATCTAATTTTTATTCTATTTACGATGCAATATATATAAATCTTATTATTTTAAAGCATTGTTATTCTGAATTTGTTAACAAAGTATGAGACGCGAAGGAAAGAATGATACAATGATACAAGAATACAAGTTTTGTTTATTTACATTTCTTATATATTTTGCATACTCCATAGTATTGCACATTACCTTGCATAAATATACGTTCCTTCAATGCTAAAGTCTTTATCTACACAATTGTGTTGTGGTACATTTGAATTAAATAAATAAATTTGATATGTATCAGCATGTGCGATCAACTTAAACATTCTCTATTGTTAGAAAAACAAGATTGAGAGTCTGCGGTTTACAATACTTGGCCGAGTGTTGGATGAATTTTCATTGAAATATCGAAATATTGAAATATCGAAAGATATCGAAATATTTTCATTCTTTTTATTCGTTGGAGAAAGTCGTCATTTCACATACGCAGGTAATGACGTTATTAATAACGCTCTCTCTCTCTCTCTCTAGAGACAAGCGTGCTCGTATAGAAAATGCGTAACACACCGTAACGCTGATTTCGCAGTAATTGACGAGCGGCTATACAGACATCGTTAATTAAACTGATAAATTAAAAGTGTCACGGTGCAGAGTGGCTAAAAATTGATGCGCACGCAAATTCGAGCGCGAACTTATATGCGAAAATGTGCGTGCGTGTGTGTGTGTGTGTGTGTGTGTGTGTGTGTATGTGTGTAACACGCGTTCGCTCGCATGCGAGCTCACCCTGCTGCAAATCCTTTACATTTACACGCGAACGTATTGAAAAACGTCAGGTGGATCGTGTGTCGAGTTTACGAAACCCTCTTTTTATTCCCTTTCGCAAATGTGCGCCCGCGAAAAAAGTAGAGCGCATCGCGACGAACTTTCCGGTTCAGGGATGCGCCGCCGGCTAAATAAGGGTGAGTGAAATGTGGGCGGTTTAACTTTGGCAAGTACAATCGGGTCGGCTTAACTTTGAAACGCAACCGCGCCTGTAATCTTACTTCGGCACGCGACCGCAACAGTTAACTCTTTCCTTGCCTCTCTCTCTCTCTCTCTCTCTCTCTCTCTCTCTCTCTCTCTCTCTCTCTCTTTCTCTCTCTCTTTTTCTTTTTTCACCGAGCACGATTATCGAACGGTCAACAAACCGTATTTGGAAAAAATGCGCAAAGTGATTTATGCTATGCACGTCCATTTTTTTTTGGAATGTTTTCGCAAAGTAAGCTCGAAAACATGCCGGATATGCAGATTCGAGTCGCAGCGATGTATTAATTAATATAGCGTGATATTTTGTTTGTTGCCGCCGACGTAATTCATGCTTCATTGAATAATATAATTCTCGTATCGATGCGCAATCTAAAATTATAAAAGTAATATATCGGACTCGCGCGAGCCGATTGCATCATGATCTGTGTAAACTTCTCTCAATTGAATTCAAGCCGATGATACAATACGAGCCAGGGAAATAGGATAAATACTCCGGCGTCGCACCTCTCTCCTCGCAAGAGAGCCGCCATTTTTCCTGCGTAGTTTCAAACCCCGCGAATGTCGTTTGCATGCTTAAGAATACAAATTACGCATAAACCGCAATATGTCTCGGGGTATATATATTTTTCCTTTTAATGAAATAAGATTAGCGTAAATTATAGCGATACATCACGCTACCGCGAGAAAAGCAGTTTCTGCAGCAGGAAGTCGACGCACTTTAACACAGGATTTATTTATTAAAAAAAAGAAAGGAAAGGAAGGAAGTCGAAGGAGCGCGATAACACGAATGGTAAATCATCTCGACCCTGTATAAAATATCGATATATATATATATATTATATATATATATATACAGGATGATCTGAGATCATTTGGAAAC